TATTTTGCTTCTTCAGACTATGGTAGCTCAAGCTCTTCAAGCAGTTGTGTTATGTGGTGGATTAGGTAGTCGAATGACAAGTTTGACAGATCATATTTCGAAATGTATGCTTCCAATCGCTGGTATTCCCATGTTTTGGTATCCACTCAACTTTTTGCAAAGGAACTCGATAGGGGGTTGGCGTTTACAGTTACTGCGTTCATTTAAACTTCATTTAAAAACAATGCATATTCTATTATAATTGATATTGTCAGCTAACGTTAATGGGGAATTCGATTACAGTAATAGGTAGTGTGAATTGCTGAACATTAAAACATGCCGCATTAAAACCCTACGTGATTTGGCAGAATGTAATGAAATCCACAATTTTGAATCTTAAGTGTCCAGTTGCGAATCACTGTTACTTTACCGTGGTAAAGTAAATGAACATTTCCCTTATAAGTTTGACGTATTGCAACTATGCTTTTTAACAAACAAAGTTTTGATAGATTTAAATAAATTGTATTGCATATAAATTTTGTTAAGTCTTTCTAGAAATTAATTTAATTTTTCTTGGTATTTCTCGAATTCAAGACAGTCCTTTGATAGTATGCCCTTTTAGAGGTTATCATGGTTGTGGCCGAAAGGTTGCTGGATGAAATCAAGCAACTTTTGTCCAGTTCCGCCTTGCCACCATTGACTGATTTACAGATTGAATTTGTTAAATTGAGCAGTGCTGCAGAGCACTGGGGTACAGCAGATGTGCTAAGATTCATAAATAGCCGAATTAAGGTAATAACAGTTACTGTTCTCTATCTGTAATTTTCATCATTGTTTTGACTTTGAGTTTTTATTATTTTCAGAGTTCAATTATCTAATACTACACACCGAAAAAAACGTAACGGAATAGATCTTATTTGTCTGATTACATCCAACTATATAAGCTTCTGTAAAATGAAAAGTCATGATTGGTTGATAGAATGCAAGATAAGAGCATATATTAGTTAGTCTCTTATCTGAGTTAATTTGGATTGGTAATTTCCAGAATACTGTTTGTCTCAGAACGTGCTTCTTAGCTCATTTTATAGAATTTTTGTTTCGTTTTGCTCACATCATTGTTTAATGTATGAGTGTGTGTATACGTATATCAAATTCGTAAATGTTCACAGGTTCATTGCAGAAAGATTTCATTGTTGTTAGTGGTGACTTTGTTTCCGATATGAACTTAGCTCCTATGCTATCGCTACACGCTTCTGAAAATGCCGCTTTAACATGTTTATTATGCGATCGGGTTATCACTGGACCAGTTCCTGGACCTAAAATGAAACTCTCAAAAGGCACTAATTTTCGTTTTGAAAATTTCTTAAAAAATTAGTGGGAAACCATTCTTAAAATTTTGCATTTTTTTGCTAGTCCGCGTCGATCTGTAAATCTGACCAGGAAACCTTGTTGCGATTTGAACTGGCCAGAATTAGATAATCTTGGAATAATGAGCAAGTATCTGAACCACTAATAGATTAGTAGACTAGATGAATTCTTTGAAATTATTATCCTCGCCTTTTCCATGATATAATGTGCCGATGTATCCGAATAGTCTTAATATCCTGATGGGCAGCTTGATCTAAGAAAATATCTCTTGGTTGCTAATTGAAATAGGACTTTTATCACACGAGTATATCGTAATCTTTTTTTCCTGGTTTCAGAACGCGATTTTATTGTTCTTTCTGGAAATAATCAGTTGTTGTTCAATGGTTCGGAAGAAGACTATGACGAGACGGTTCTTGTGAATGTTGATGTGCTTGATAAGTAATTTTACTTACAATGAAACGTCTTGCAAAATTTCAAATTCTCATGAAATAATATGTTAATTGTTGAAATTTCAGGTGTCGGATTGCTTATTTCACTGCTAAATACAATGACTGCCATTTATATATTATGAAAAAATGCATTTTAAACATTATCGAAAAACATAGGTTTTTCTGGCTTGTTTTAATCTTATTTTTTTGATCTGTATAAATCAATATTTTTTCTAAAAGATAAATTTAGTGTCGATTTGATAGAATACTGTGACTTATAGGGAATTAAACTCACTGAAGGCTGATCTTATACCATATATTCTGGAAAAGCAGAATGCGAAAGAGGACTACGGCATGTTTTTTTTTTCATGTTAATCAATTTATTAGATGGTTTTAAACTGTATTAGATATCCAACTTCATTTTTTATTGAAGGCAAAGATAAAATTTTTTTTGCTTCCTTCAGAAATGATTGAACATATCGGAATTGATCCTCTCGATGAAAAGATACAAAAATTCAGTTTTGGTACTACTGCTATAAAAAGCCTTCAAAATCCGTTGAAATGTTTTGCGTATTTGTTATCACCAGAGAACGGCTTTATTGTTGGACATGTGAACACTATCGGAGCTTACTTTGAAATTAATAAGGCAGTATGTTTTCGAATCAAAATTTTTAACATTTGCGATCGTTGTAATACAAAAGAACATTTTTCTTTTAAAAGTGATTGTCTGAATGCAGCTGAAAATAATTAGAAAGGTCGGTCGTAATTTCTCAAACAGTGTTTTTCTTGCTTGATTAGTGGTGTTTCGAGGCCATTGGTCATTGGTCTCGGAGTTGGTTAGTTTACTGATAATTCACTAAACTATCAGGGGAGAACTGAAAATGGAATGATTTAACGACTCATAGGATTAGCTTTCTCCAGGAAATCCATTTTTTGCTCCCAATCGCTTTCAGGAGGTGTGCACTGAATGGCTCAATTATAATTGATCTCGGTTTCATTTGTGTTATCTCATTGTTTCTTTTCAGATCATTCGCTTCTTATCGAGGTTTTCCGAAAAAATTCCAGTCGGACATGCAATAATAGATGATAATTATACTGCAACCATCTCTGATTGTTATGTTGGTTCTACCACCCACCTTTTACAGCAAAGTGCTGATGAAACATATGCTGCTCGTTCAGAGAGACCAATTATCAAGCGCTCCGTGATCGGTGAGAAATGTGTTCTTGGACCAAGAAGTAAAATTGTCGGTTCTTTGCTGATGGACAGATGTCAAATTGGTGCGGGGTATGAAACATATTTTTGTTATGCTTATTTTCGCTAATCAGTTTCATCGGATCATTCATCACACTTCATGTTGAAAAAATTTCACTACAGCCGGAATCCGATTCTATTTTTTTGGCTACACTTTCTTATAACTTTTTCGCATGCTTTATTGAATTCTTATCAATAACATACACCGTAAAAAATCATTTAGATTCTA